ATTGTCTACGAGTTATGAATGATTCAACAGCTACTGCATTGGCTTATGGTATATACCGATCTAATGAGTTCAGTGATGATACTCCAACAATAGTAGCATTCACATCTGTTGGTGCATCTCATTTTGGTACATCTATCGTTAAGTTTACTAAAGGTCATCTTACTGTACTTGGTGAGGCTATTGATACTACTGTTGGTGGTCGATATATTGATAAGATCCTAATGGAGCATTATAGTCAACAGTTTACTACTAAAACTGGTTTAGATCCCCTTAAGAATGCTAAATCTAGATTCAAGTTGGAAGAGGCTGTTAATAAGGTTAAGAAGATATTATCAGCCAATAATGAGGCCGTATTAGGGATTGAATGCTTGTTGGAGGATGAGGATCTGGTAAGATAATAATAATCATATTATTATCATGTCATTGTTTTAGAATGTAGTCGTGACTCGTGATAAGCTCGAGGAACTATGTGCTCCGATGGTTGATAAGATGCAGTCTGTGATGAATAAGGCATTGAAGGAAGCTAACATTACTATTGATGATTTACATTCAGTAGAGATCATTGGTGGTGTATCTAGAGTACCATTCATACAACGTACTATTGTTGATACTCTACATAAGGACTTATCTCGTACTCTTAATGCTGATGAGTGTGTAGCACGAGGATGTGCATTACAAGCCGCTATGTTATCACCCCTATTCAAGGTTAGGTAATATACATCATGTAACATCATCATTATGATCAGGCTACCTCGTCGTTTTTAGGGACTTTGCCGTTACTGATTTTACTCAACAAGGCATTGAGGTAGCCTGGCAGCAGCAACAGCAGGCAACATCTACTACTGATAATGATGATGTTGAAGGATGTTCTTCTATCATCAAGAGGACTGAGGTCTTCCCACCAAGATCTACACTTAATACGGTTAAGATGCTTACCTTCTATCGTAAGGAAGCCTTTGAGCTATGGGCACAATATACCAACAGTGAGGACCATGGCGATGATGCATCTCTTGGGAGATATACTATACAAGTACCTCATAATAGTGAGAATGATGAAGGACCTAAGAAGATTAAAGTCCGAGCTAAGCTCAGTCTACATGGTACATTCAGTATTGAGAATGCTATTATGATAGAAGAGGAAGAGTATCAAGTTGTAGAGAAGGAGCGTAGACGACGACGACCTATTAATAAGGAAACTAATGATGATGAGAATATGGTAGATGCCTCTCCTTCAGCAGCAGCAGCTACTACTACTATTACCAATGATGATGTGAATATGCAGCCTGCTGAGGTACAACATCACGTGGAT